AATTAATTTTACAGGTAACGATAAAATAAGATATTACTAGAATTGCAGTGTATTAAATTTAGAAGCATCTAAAAATTAGGCACTGATTTTAGGCATAAATAAATTTTGAAAGTAAAATCAAAATGGGTCATTGAAGCCAAATTGTTTTACAATCGTCTTGAACTGAGACGATTTAAAGTTTTCATATGCATCTCAGTTTTTTATTCGCTGCAAACTTTTAATTTACCCTCATAATTTAGTAATTATCAATTTTGTTCAAATTTAATTCTCAATGCATATTATATTTCTGACTATCTTTTATTAATCCCATCTTTATCTTTATACTGTAAATGCATTTGCTTAGATCAAATACAATAATATTTCATTTTATGAACTCTTTAAGTTTACATACAGTAATACACGTACGCATGCATACACGTACATATGGTCAACAATAGCTGTCCATTTTAATTCATCTTATTTCTGGCAGTAAAATCATTTTCAATTTTCATTGTTAAAAAAGGAAGAAAATGCCATAAATTTTCTTTTAATATGCTATTTCCTATTTCATTTTGAGAAGGAAAAGGCAAAAAAGCGAACTGCAGCTGGCTTTCTGCTCAATTCCTACTCAATTTTTCCCTACTACTATTCTCAGTGAAGCGAAAGCAAATTCAAAGATCAATTATTATTATTACTATTATTACTGTTATTATTATTATTTTTGACATAATCAAAGTTTCTGTACTACATTTGTAATGTTATTTATTGAGTAAACAGATTTATTCTTGATTTCTGCAGTGATAATAATGTAATCGTATTTTCATTTTATTTACTTTTACTCATTATTCGTGTAAACTCAACTAACTTAATTACCAGCAAGCATTTAACGTTAAATGCAAAGTAAGACGTAAGTGATCCAATATTTTGAAGACCAATTTGAATGAGTTTTTGAGTGGTTTTTTAAGTACTAAAATTAGTACTAAAATCATAAATTTATTGCAATTAAATATTTGCAAGATAGATAATATCAGTAATTAGCATAATTTTGAGAAAATATATGTACACTTTGAGAATATTGTGCTGCAAACAAGAAGTGAAAATAATTCTTCATTATCAGCACCAACTTTTCCCTGTAAAAAGTATTTCTTACTGTTGTAAAATATTAATAATTTTGTGATATGGCTATTGTATTTGCAGTGTGATAGCATTACAGTGCCAACACAAAAATATATTTATGATGTGAGTTTTTACAAGCATCACAACACAATACACTCATTACAAGTTAACAGAAATATTTGCTTATTTATGGTATTATTTTATTTATTATGCATACTGCTCACTTTTACTAAAATTTACTAATAAAGGAAATACATAAAAATTTCAATTTCTTTCGAGATAATTCAAAATGGCTCAATTTCTTGTAAAATTTTGTACTAAGAAATTTTTTGATTTATTTCAATTTGAAAATTTTCAATCTGAAATAATAACATTTATAGTGTGAAAAACTGAAATAATAGCAATTAGCATCGATAGTTTTTGAATTTAATTAAGAAAAATAGTTGCTTATATAACCATAACCATAACCAACTTATGGTAGCATTTATGACTTATATTATTTTCATTGAATTATTTTATCAATTTTGAAATGTTTCATTGTTTGTTCTTAAAATTTACTTTTCAAATAATTTTGAATAATTCCATTTTCAAATATTTTCAAGAAAACTGCACACCTGTCGTTTTAGGCATAATTATAACCACTAAGATTATTATTTTCAGCAAACTTGATTTTATTTTTACTGCAAGGCCACTTTAATGAATTACACGGGTCTTCTCAAGACTCGTATCACGTTTATTTACTCTCTTATATGTATGACGAGTGCTTAACGTGCCTTGACCTTCTAGCTTTTCATGTTTTAAACATAATTACTACCAAATATTTGATGTCCATTCATATTTACCTTACGTTTCTGAATTGTCATAACTCATAATTACCACGGAGAAAATTTATTCATTAAGTGTAAAATGCGTTTGAAATAATTCATTTTGATCATTTTTTAAAGGTAAAAACCTGTTTAAAACAATTACGTACACTATGCATTATTGGTAGCAGCCTGGTAACTAACTATTCATCTCTCGAAAATTGAACAAATTACGATTTCTGTTTGGATCATTTCATGCATTTATTCTTAAAGTAAGAATTTGTTAGTTTCGTTGGTAAAAATTGAAATTGAAGAATGATTTTATTGCTTTAAAATTCGATCATATATTATCTCAATCATAAGGATCAGCGATAGAACAAAAATGCAAAAACTGACCGTATTCAAAAATATTTTAGCATTAAAGAAGTTTCACTACTGAGAAAAGTAACGAAAAAAATTCTTGTAGTGGATTAAAAAATATGCAAAATTTTGACAAAATTTAAAAAGCAATCCTTTATGCTAGCATTTTTCTCAATTTTTGCATTTATTACTACATAAAATTGAATGTTTGTGTGCCATAAAAACTGCGACTTCAGAATTTTTCAATCTTTTTAAAAGACAAAATTACTTAATTTCAGTATTGTCTGCTTTATGTTACAGAGAAGGAAATAAACTTCGAAAATGATTTCAAATTGAGATTTGCTTTTTGCATAACTTTTGAATTACTTTTCTGTGGAAAAAACGTCTTTGATATTTTAAGTCGCAAACGCAATTAAGACTTGAAAAAAAAATCAGAAAAACAAAATTTGTCATTTTTGTTTGCAATAAATTATTTTGTATTTGAGAATTAGATTTGTTCATATGCAAAGATTTTAATATTATACTTTTTTCACTTTCAACGCAGTTTTTTGCTTGCACTAAACTTAGAAGAGTGTAAAAAAGAAACTAAAAAAGCAAATATCAATTATGCAAAGGAATGTTAAGTTTAATCATGGTAATGCCTTCATTAATATACAGCATCTAACTGAATAAAAAATCATGAGATTTTTTGTTTTTTTGTAGATCATTTTGACTCATGGAATGATCAAGTAGTTGATAACTGATGGCTTCAATTTTCTTCCTATAATACTGCTATTATTAATATTAAAGATCTGATAAATAATTTAAACTAACTACAAATTGTATCATTTTTTGATACAATTTGTAGTTAATTTAAATTTCGAACTATATTTTATTTAACTAAAAGTGATAAAATGCGGCAGAATTAATGAAACGACGAAAAACTGTAACAAATTTATTCTTTTATTGAAACTTTTGTCAAGTTTTTAAAATCTTCAAAATGAATTTTGAATAAATTACACCAATGGAAATGATTGCTACAATATGCTAATATTTTCTGCCAACGATTATTCATGATTCTATTTATGCGCCCCAATTTATTAATAAATTTGTTGAATTGGAACGAGCTTTGCGGGCTTTTTCTTGTTATTACTATCACTATAAATCAACATTTCATAGTTGTTATTACTGAGGGCAATTTATTTCAAATACAGAATTGGAAAGCTGACTGCGCAAATTGTGTTTGGTACCGAACAAATGCCAATTTTTGATAATCAAAGATAAGTTTGTAGCAGATCTTTCGTATACTTAATATCCATTACTATTTACAAAAAGGTTAACTGTGATTGCGTTGTTAAATATGCTAGATTTCGCATGATTACATATATGATTGTTATAAAGTTATTGCTAGCTATAACTTGTGTTATATTAAATACAAATCCTAGCCATTTTCATTTTTCTTGTGAGTGAATGCAATTTAATTCTGGAAGTAATATAAGTATCAATCTGTGAATGCAATTTAATTCTGAAAGTAATATAAGTAATTTTGAATCCTAACTGTGCATTGTTATGTTTTTCACGATTGTACAAATTATTTTTCAATTTGTCAATTATTATTTTTGCCATTTTGCTTGGCGAAGCTCGAATATCAGTTGCTAAGTCTATAAAGAAAGATTTGTCCGCAAGCGATTGTTATACTTGTTCTTGCATCCTTTGTCATTAATTTAAGTTTTAGTAATGAATACTCAATGTATAAAAGTATGCACGCACGTGTATGCAAGAGAATTTAAATGCTCTTCATATATTATGATCAATTGGGTCAGGTTAAAGTTGTTGCAAATCTTGAAAAAGGTCAAGCTATATCAAGTCACTCTTTCTGTGAAGGAATTTTTGAAATTAGGCAGGCTTTCTAAATTTCGAGATCAAAATTTCCTCAAGTTTGTTCTACAGTACATTTAAAAAAAATTAATTTCAGACTAGCTAAGGTGGACTTTATATAATTTACACTGGCTAAGCACACTGCACAGATATCACTCCAAGATCTCAGCTTACCTCGAAGCAATTATTCACTGCCATAACTTTCAATGTCGCTACAAGTAAAAACATTTGCATAATTGGAGATGTTATCCATCGCTTGCGTGCTGGCAGTTGTGTTTTTTTACTTTCCTCAGTCATCTCTGACAGAATCCATCAGTGCCAACACATCAGAAGTAAGCAAAGATCTTGAAAGAAATTTTTTGCACAAAATATTGCAAAAGTTTCGCTTCATTTTGAATTTGAAAATAATGTAAATTTACTGATACAAAATTTTTAAAAATAAATAATTAAATCTTTTGCAAAAAATTTTTTGATTTTTGAAGGGAATTTCGGAAGTAAAAGAAATTATTATTTTGGTTATTGTATACAGAAATGAAACGCTGTTAGTATTTATAAGACAATTTTTGTCTAGTAAGAAAATAGACGGCTGACGTACTCTTGTAAAGAATTTCTGCGCAAATATTTGTTGAGTTTTACTTTCAAATTGATATTACTCATTCACTTAAAGAATCTGCTTCGATGTGTTATTTGTTATTAAAAATTTAATATGTTAAATTCAAAAATTTTGTCTGCTTTTTTACAACTTTCAAAATCTCATTTGCTTACATTTTATAGTCTAAAATTGTGATAAATGAGAGTAGTTTTGAGGAAAAAATATATCTACGACGAACTCGACGTGAGCCAGCTATATGGGGTGAACCAGCTCCAGATTATCACGGTGTGCAAATGGATAGTCACGTCCGCTTTCTTCATGCTCTTCTTTTTGTTGATTCTAAAATTGTCAGTTCATTTTTGTATCAATGATTAATTTGCAAAAATTATGCTTTTCATGTGTAAATGAAGTAATTTTAGAATATATATGACATGAAATTTTTATTTGTGATAGCTAATCTTCTTCACGTAGATTTCAATCTCTATTTGCTAAAAAGCAATAATAACTTTAATTTGATAAATTAATAGATAACATACTGTGCTATCTATTAATTTATCAAATTATCGTTGTTCAACAGATATTTTTTTTTAAGAAAGCTGACTGAATTTCAGACTCATCATTACGGATCTAATATGATCAATGTGAAACGAGAAGTACTGAAATTAATTCGAGAAGCAAATGATGTAAGTTTCAGCGTTGTAATACATTTAAGCCTTTATGATTTCCTATTACGATTTTACTAATATTTTTCCGAAATCCAACTTTTTCCGCCTTCCAGCTCTTTCATCTTCATTTCTGTATCATTTTAAATTCATGTAAATCAATAATATATTATCTGTATATGCATTCATAATTTCAGTATTTCTACCAAATAAATGTGCGAATAATAGTAGTAGATATTCTGCAAACAGAACGAAGTGATTTGAGTCTGTATTCATTTGAAGAATTTAGAAATCAGAGGTAGAGTTTGCTTAATCTCGTAAGCAATGTTATGAATGAAGTGATCTTGGAAGGATATTTTTAACAAGCCTGATGTCATGATTCCTAAGTTTAAATACTGTACAATAATTCATCTAAATTAGTACATTATTGAAAGTAAGAAAATAAGTTGTACATAAAGTGTTTTTCTCATAGATTTGAAACTTCGAAAGCATTATTTTGATTACAACGCATTCAAAAATGAAAAATATAGCACTTAAATTTATGTATTTATGATAAAAACAAAAGACATATCTTTAATATCAAAGTAATAATGAAAACTACTGTTAGCAATCAGCGCGATGAGAGCAGACAGCTGATGCTAAGTTTGTAAGAATGAAGTTTACGTCTTAATAAAGTCAAAGTTCAAAATTTTTTAAAATTATTCTGAAATAATGTTCGAAAATTTGAGAATACTTTTACTATTTTTTATGGGTAAATCTACTAATTTATATAAATATTGAAAATTGCTTACGTGTTACAAACTTCACGTTTTTATCCTTTCATGATATCTGTTGAGGATATCAAAGTTACCAATGCACGATTTTGCCGCTTTGATTTCATATCGCTATGCGGGTGGGCTAGCATTTGTTAATGGAATGTGTACGTCAAAAGCCGTCATGCTTTGCGGAGTACGCTCACTTGTTTGCATCATTAAACATTTTCTGATTAAAAATTTGTCTAATTAATATAGAAAATATCAATTGCAATTATTAATAATTCCTGAAAATCTAAGAATTTGAAAAAATAATTTTGTTCACCTGAAAAAGCTTATGAAAAAACATATTATAAGACCATCGTGAGTAAAAGTAAAGTAGCTGAATCAGTTTATAGCAGTAAATGCTAAATAATTAACTAATTAATTGATTAATTAATTACTTTGCAGTTTTATCCACACAATCCCTCAGCAATGGGTGGCATATTCTTTCATGAAGTAGCGCATTTAATTGGTGTTCCGCACAGTAATGCAACTGATTTTATCAATGTACCAGATTGTTACTGTCCTATACTTGAAAGCAGCCCAGCTTCTGGATGCTTGAAAATACCGTACACATGTTTCTATTTCTCTCTAATAAAATGTATTAAATGAATACTTTGTTATTCAGAAACTTAACTTTTAGCTTTATCATCAGTACCAAACTGAGAAAAACTTTGCTGATTTCTAAAATTTTATTCATTTTCGAATTCAGTGCTTGAAAATAATTCAAACTCTTATATGCACTAATTTCGATAATTCTTACAGAGGGTATGATCATGACTGCACCTTACAGCAAATGGTAAACATGCTGAAAGCAAGCCGTTGCTTGAAACAGATCAAAAGTATCAGCACGTTTTTTATACCTTTAAAAAATTCCCAATCCTTACCACTCTGTGGAAATGGTGTCATTGAAGGATCTGAAGAGTGTGATTGCGGCTTGCATAAACTGTGTTACAACTGGAATTGTTTAGCCGATGAATGTGTGCAGATTGTGAAGTCTTGGCAGATGGTTTCTTTTCATTTTTCAAATTTTATACCAAAAAGTACTCTGTTGTTTAAATTTCAGATTAACCAATTTGAAGATATTAAAATATTGAAATAATTTTAGCTTAAAAGATCATGCAATCATGCATGTTCCTACGCTAGACTTGAAAATTATCCGTGTTCTATTTGATATTGCTCAGCATTCAATCAAATTCATAGTTTTGGATAAATATTTTCCTCTTGTCTGTTTTTTTTCTTTCGAAAAACAAATCTGTACATTATTCATCATAAAAAATGATTGATTACAAAAATGTTGAAAAATAAACAGTCATATATGGCAGTTTGTTTTGTACAAAAAAATCAAACTGTTCTAAAATTTCATTGTTCAATTGAAATTATTTCAGGTGAAGTAATTTTGTTTCAAGCTATTTTCTTTGTTAGTTTTAACAAAAAACTCTTTTGTGAGTTTTAAAAGGTCAAAAAGCTTGAATTTTAGGTCATAATTAAAGTTATTTCAGTACTTTCTTGGTGGAGTAGTAGCAGTGCTTACTGTGCTTGCAACTTTTTACTACATTCTACAACGGCACTCATCAGCTAATAGTTTATCAATATTATTCTGTTGTCGCTTTAATAATTGTAATGTCATACCATTTTCTTGGCTCAAATTAAAATCGTTCCTTACATTCCACAAAAGTAAATATTCTTGGCACCGAGCAAATAGTAATTATACGCATTCCCTGCGCCGTACCGGAAATATCTTAAGTAGCAGAAATCGTCTCATTGGAATACCTAACAAAAAAGTAATGCACTTTTCAAGTTTTTCAACCACAAAAATTTGTGAATTTTTGAATCGTATTTCCTCAGGTTATACTCAAAAACAGTTACCAGGAGTTAGATCAGTTTTATTTTTAAAAATTTTCAAATACTGCAGCTTAAATATTTTTGCTATGCATTGAGATATAATTACAATACACTTACCAGTTTAATAAAACTTATTGACACGTGTACTGCCCTTCTCACATGGTTACCTTTTTTAAGTTGGATTCCAATAAAATCACTGCGATAATTTCGTTGGATGATAAAGAATATTTTGTGCGTAAGCCAACTTTCACGACACGACCAACGCAACCACCGCCTCCGCCACCTTCAGCATTATTTTCTCCAAGGTAAGAAATACATCTTAATAATACATAAAGCAAGTACTTTTCAAAAATTTTATGACTTTTTCAGATCCAAACTAAGACAGGAAGTCTTGCCGATTACAAATAACTTGGACAATTTATCTTCGAGTACTCGAGTGCCCCCAATACCCATAAAACCCCCAAATTTATCTACCAAAATGCTTATGATTGCAGAGGATGACACATATGAAGTACCGAATACAACTAGAAAAAGGTACGCTATATTTTTAATCATTATTATTGATTATTAAATGCAAAAAAAATACCAAACGATCTAGAAATATAATTTGTGTCTTTGTATTCAAGCTTTTATGTTTGTAAAAGTCTATTAAAAGTGAATAATTTACAAATTTTAGCAGTGTTGAGATATGGCTTCGATTACAAGTTTGTTAGTATAATTTTATGGTTAATTCAGTTATAATTTTTAGAAACTTTTACTGCGTAATTGACAGTGTTTATATTTACGAAATCTCACTCGTAAAAATGAACTATAAAATGTTGGAATTTGAATAATTCTTACTTTGACTGTTGACAATCATAACGATTTTCCTTACGATGAACTAAATTATTAAAATCCAAAATTAGCTTGAAATGAAAAAATAACAATTTTAGATTTCAACTTTGTAGCGATGAATGACAAAGCTAAAATTATGTAAAAAATTTAAAGCAAGCTATAAAAGCGGTTTATACTGAATTTAAGATTGTCATCGATGGCTAGGTTGAACAGAGTACAGTTATCAGAACACTATTCTGACCACTATGATAGCATATCGCGAAAATTTGATGATGATTTTGACGACGATATTAGTGATAGTGAATTTGTGTCTAAACTCTTTGGTGATGATAATAAAAAACAGGAACCTATATACTATACATCAATGATTTCTGCGCAAGAACGTCGGGGAGATCAAGGTCTGAATTATTGTATTTCCAACATTTATTTACTAATCATTCTGATTAGTGAAATTTTACCACTACTTTGACTTCATGTGTTCGGAAGTTTTTTTAATAAACTTCAAAATTAAATTTTCATACAGTTAATATTATATGTGCATGTATGTATGATTTCTTTTCATAAATAGCATTAATTTTTAAGTGAATGATTCTGATAACTGTATGGAAGGTATTTCATACATTACTGCAACTGTTGCACAGTGATATCAAGATTAATTTGTATTCTAATACTTAATGTGATTTGAATCTTATGCCTATATTGCAAGTAAACAGTGCCGAACTTCGAGTTTTGTATCTAAGCAAAGAATTATGTAGACAAACTTTATGTGGTACATTTGAGCTTTAATTTAGATTATTTAATTCTAAAGCGTAGTCATTTTAAATTCATTAATAGTTGCATGAAGAGTTAGCTGCTGATATTTTTCTATTTTTAGAGGGAAGTAATAAAGAGGAAGTAACGCGGCATCATGTAGAACACGTGTCTTATTTGGCTGCACGTGAGGAATCATTTTCATCTAGTGAATCTCAAAGTAGATTTTATCCATCTGATGACACTGCCAGCACCAGCTTAAGCGAAGAAAATGAACTTTTCGTCTCCATCACTAACAGTGTACTCAAAGTTACATCCAGAAAGAAATAATTAAAAAATAAATCTAATTAATTCTTTCTCAAACTATTTACTGAATCTTTGATCACTTAATGATTTCAAAGAGTTAAGTAGTGAAGCAAAAGCAAATTATGTTGTTTGTTTGATTGTTGAGTTCTCACTTCTGATTGTTACTTCTAGTTTTGTATGCATACCAAATAAGTCATACTTATCTAGTAAAAACTATCAATGCTCACTCAAGTTATGTGATTACTAAAATGATTTCTTGCTAAAGCAAATAAATGAATCTCTAAACTGCAGTGAAATCAATCTATTCATATGTTTTGGCTGTCTTTGTGCTTTATATCTGTCTTATCATATCATTTTATCAAAGTACATGCCATTTGACTTGTTGTTAGTCACTGCCATTTTCTTGTTTTTATCAACATTCTCTTGTCAACTGCTATTCTTTTTCTACTAAATCTTAACAGTGTGCGCATTTTGCATAAATAAAATGCTTAAATTGTTTTTCAGTTCTAATGTCGACATGTTTATCTTAATTCTTTCAAATACTGTCCTCAAATCATTTCAGCCTTTTTGCTTACAATAATACAAAAGTTGTTAGCAGATTTGTGTGAAGCATTCACTTATTTGTCAAATTTTTGCTTTTTGAGGTTAGCTAACAAAGTTCTAAATGAATCGTTGATTTCAGCAACTATTTACTATTATTATTTTCTCAGCCATCAATTTTGAATTTTCTATCTCTGGAAGAACACATATTTTTTGTGGCTAACCACGATGTAATATCACGCTCAGGTACTCAAGTGCTAAGAAGATCATTTCCAGTGTTATCACTGATTGTTACTATCATTAATCAATTTCTCTTATCACTTTTTAAACAAATTTTATTCAATATTTTTGCTTTTGACTATATTTTCATTCATTTTATGTGAATTTCAATAAAATGCTTACAGTTCTTACTCTTCTCCTGCAAAATAGTCTTCTTTCAATAATGACAGTGGAATTGTAACTTCTTCAATAGTACAGTTTGTACAGTAAGTTGAGATCTCAGCAATTAATTATGAGAATTATTTGTTTTCAGTGGGTTTAAAGTCAGAAGTAAGAGAATTTATTGCGATGGAATAGATTCCAAAAAAATTGAAATTTTTTCTTTTATTCAAATTAATTCTCAATTTGTATTCAAAAATAGGAATTGATTGCTTATTTTTAATGCACTCAAAATTTATTGCTCAATCTTTTTCACTGAACTTAATCCATTTGTAAATTTCACTTTATTTAATTTGATATATTAATATTATTTAAATTCCAATTCAATTCATCGAGAATTGCTTATCATTTATTTGGCTAAAAATTTTTTTACGTTCCCATAAAATAATTGACCTTTGACATTACATATGGGAAACTTAGGTGCATTACAAAAGAGACGCTTATTAACTTGATATTAACTCCAGCATATCTAATTCAAAGATTCTGCGGCTGTGCAATTGACTCATTTTATATGAGCAGATCATAACTAAATGTGAGAAAGTGAAGGATTGTGTAATTATGCTTAATTAATAGTGTTCAAAATTTGAAAATGTTTGTTTTGTGCAATTTGAGAGTAAAAAAATGATTGAATATAAACAAATTTGAATACAGAAATGAAGTGGAAAAAACAACAAAAATGTGATATTTTATGGAATTTTGATATATTTTATGAAATATATAAGTAATTTTATTATGTCATATTTTAAAAAAAGGATTCGATAAAATCACACCAAAAATTTAATAAAACAAAATAATATTTACTTTCAACTTTAATTTGCAATAATAAAATAGATAGAAAAAATCATTAAATTTTTGTAAATTGCAAATAGTTTGTACAGAAAGCAATTAAAATTCATTTGTGTATGCTTTCTTCAGTGGAAAAATTTTTATGATCAGGGTCACAAAGGTCACACGAGCAGATTTGATTACTGTAAAGGTTAATGGGAATGGACCGATAAACTTCTCAAGGAACTTGTGTTTCTCACACCGTTCATCCATCACACATGCGCCAAATCATTGAAGTATTGTTTTGTAAGTTGATTTCTGAATAGCAAAAATAACAACTAAACAAAGAAAGAATGTGACATATATGGGAACATCTCATATGATTTGAATATTCCCAAAGGATTGACCACCAGAATTTTCCCATACTGTGTGGCTATGACAAAATAAGATTACTCTCTGGAAATATATATTTATATGTATATATACACATATATATTTATATATACTCATACAGGTTGGATATAAAGTTGGATGAGAACGTTACACTCATTTCATTTCTATGGAATATGTCTCAGTGTATTTTTTTTTAAATTACTTTTAACAAATAAGTGATATTAATTTGATATTTAAATTAATTATAGTTGCATATTTGAATAATAAAAAGCAGTCAAGATATAAATACTTGTGCTTACAATTACATTAAGAGTAGTCTTCTTAAATAGATTATATTGTTCAGTCTATTTAGGTTTATTTTGAGATTAGCTTAATAGTTAAAGTTTTAAGTAATCAGCAAATAATGAAGAATATACTTTATCATTGGTTTAATTAATTATTAACTAGCTGATAAGCAAGATTGTTGTTGATATGCTGCTTTATTGTAATTAATTAAATTTTGCCAATTGTGGTTTTTTCAAATTTATGGTAATTTCAGGGTACTTTCAAAAATGAATGGGAGTTCATCTAATAGCAAAACAAACATTACAAATCAATTTTTGGTACATTATTTCTGTAATTGACAAAATTTAGCATATAAGTTAAAGTAAAATGATATAAATTTTCAGCTTTATAACTTATTTTAAATAATTACAAATCCAACTGTTTTAACTTGGAATTTTCATATTTAAATAAATCCGAAATTGTTACCTATAATTTATTAAAATTTCGCATAGGAAGCATGGAAAACACTGGAAGAAGATGAATAGAATTGTAAAAATCAAACTTTATAAAAATTGTCTAAAAAATTACAGTAAAACTTTTAAAGTTTTTTAAAGATAAACCAAGTCATTAGAAAAGCTTCAAAAAAGTTTTCTTAATAAAATTATTATTTGGTTAAATTACAGAGTAAAGCTGAAATCGAACGCCGTCGTCGAGCTCGTATGAATTCTTCCATGCAAGAACTGAAAATTTTGTGCTTAGCGAAATACCCGAAAAGTAACGCAAAAATAGGCAAAACAGACGTTCTAAAAATGACAGTCAAGCTTTTAATTGAAATTGGTAGTGATGAACGAAAAGGTAAGTACAGTAACGTAACTAGCCGGAGATGCCAAACAACAATTACGGTTTGCTTTACGAGCGCATAGCTATAATCTATTTGCAAAAATTACTTTACTTATCGGCAGAAATTCAACTTTTTTCTGCTTTTTACTTTATTATTTTTAGAATATTCAAAAATTGGTAAATATTTTTAGACTTAAAAACATTTCTTAAAATGACTGAATAAATGGTAACGTAATTTGAATACTTTGTTACAGGAAGAGCATCTACTCTTAACGCTTTCGGAATATGTCCACTTTGCTTGCTACTTAGGTTTTTGTACACAGTCTCACTTTTAAAAAAACTGAATATTCTTTAAGAGCAACGAATATATATGCAAATAATTGTTTATTTTTTGTTTCTAAGCCAAATCTCTGGAGCTTTCTGATTAATCTTTTCTTTTAAATTTTTAGACTTTGCAAGGATGTCATCTCATGATACGATCTGCTACTAAGCTTTTCTAAATCCCAAAAAGCTTAAAACTTAGTATTCTTCCGGAATTTATGCCAACTTCTATTCGTTTTTCAGTGAATCTTACATTTACACACTTGGTAATCAATGCTTTGCAGCTCAGTCAATATAACAATGCTATTCTAAATTCCGATGAATATATTTTTTATTGCAATATCAATATTGCAGTAATTGCTACATCATGAATGAATATGCGCAATCCTGTCAAGTTTACTTTATTTTTGTTCTTAAATACAGCAATGTTTGTGGAAACGGAGAACGAAGAAATCAGTTTTTAATTTTAAATATGAGCTGAGTACAATATTCAAAGTTTACTTTAACAGTATGTACAAAAATTCTGACAGTTTGTTGCTTTTCCTAATTCTCAAACAAAAAATATAATTTTTTTGCAGGTGCGGAGAAAATGGCTTTTCAAGGTTTCCAAACTGGATTTGAAACTGCACAACAAATGACAACTTCGTATATCTACAGCTTATTCCACAGTGACATATCATCGCCGATAGTGGCCTCGTTAAATGCATTTCTTGCACAATTATCAGATAAATCATTGAAATCAATGAAATGGTTGCGATCAGTTTACGAAGTCACAAAAAATAAGGGTTAGTTCGTTCTTTAATATATTCTTCATTCAGAAATTAAAGATGGCAAAAAAGTCACTGAATTTATTCTTTTGTAAAGATTTTGAGTAGGTTAAATTATAAATGTAGTAGTTTGAACTCTTCTGTCATAAGCCTAGCTCAAAAAATATTGACAAACAGTATAATCAGAATAAAATTTGTTAAGGTTAGTTGAAATTGACTGAACTAAAAGTTATACTTCACAGATATCAACAAGCCATCAAAAAGGCAGCAAAGCCCATGTTCCATTCTAATTTTATTTACATAACTTCATTTCACTACTGTGCTTTATTAATGACTGCTTTGGATATTCTTCAGACGAGAAGCAGTCATCTGTTAACAGTACACCTACGACAAACTCGCAGACGCCTGTACAACGTGGCTTGAAACTGTTATCTGAATTGACTCCAGATCATATTTCACACATTCCACCGTTATTTGAATCACCGGAGAGCAATGGTGTTCTAAATTCGTCATCATTTTCTGATTTAGCTCATTCAATATCATCATTTCCTAGCCTCAGCAACCTTGGTGCATTTACATTATCTGAAAGTAATGAAAATTCTGAAGCAATTTGTGTCACTTGTGAAGGAATCTGTAATTGTAGTTGTAAGAAAAAATTATTTCAAACTCCAACGCACTCATAAATAATTGTTTCTAGAGAATTATTATAAAATGTCATGTTATTTACATGCAAAAAATTTTTCCCTCACTTTTTTACATCGAAAAATACCCAAAATTTCAAAATGACGTGTTTTGACGCATTTTTATGTCAAAAGTTAAATTTTTTGATGAAAAACTAAAATAAACACTTTTTATGCTTCAAAAAATGTGAAATATTTTTATGATTTGCGTGGAATATTTTCTCTGTTTGCTTTTGTCTTCGATTGCTTTACTAATAATTATAATTCAGTATTTCCTCTTCTTTAATTATGTTTTCAGTCTGAATTTATAATGTAATTCCTTTTAAATAATTTAACAAAGTGATAAATAATATTATCTCGATAACATAAAAATTATCAATGTTTTTTAATCATTTTCATAATTTAATTCCTTTGATTTTATAATTATGGCATATTTTCATAATTCTTCATGATCCGTATTACATAGTAATTTTTTGCTCGTGTGATAATTCATTTCTGTAGAAAGCTGTCTTCTGAATGCAATGTTTTTGATTGATTCCAAGAAGTGAAGTCCATAATGTTCATAAATGATATATTGTATGAAATTAATTGTGCAAAATGAAAATGTCACTTTTGTGTACTGAAAAATAAACAATCATAGTAGTAGTAATAATAATATAATATTAGTTTTAGTGTGAGTAAACTGTTTGTTTTTTGAAAAATTTCTTTATTTTCATATTTAAAATCGATTCCAAACATTTCTTATCAAACATTTTCGCACTAATACAATGGATAGCTGAAATTTTGACCGGAAAAAATGAAATTAAAAAAATCAAAAGTTGACGGACACGTGATATTTTATTCTATTACGCGAAAACTTCAGTATTTAAACTCAGAGAAACAGCTGATTTTTAACGAAGAATAAAAGGTTAGTAAGTCGACCTTTGTTTTAGACAGTGAAAGCTGATTAAGATTATTTGGATATTCAAAAGAGTTTCTTTTTGATGAAAGTAAACAAAAATAAAAGAAAATTTTTTGCTTTTTATCTGGAGAATCTATCATTATTAATGAATAGTTGGAAGAAAAGGCCAGACCGGAAATTGGATTGGATTTGCGTTCGAAAGTTGATTGATCGAGTCAAATCTCTCGGGATTACTTCAAGAAAATTTCCGCAGAGTACTTTTTCCTTCCTGATCGTCATCAAATAGTGGCTTTTTCAGGATTTTTTATGCTAAATTGATCAAAATTGAATCCATCATTAATTTATTTTCAAACTTAATTTTGTCATTCCTCAATAAAGGAACAGTGCTTGCTCTGGTTTGACTCAAAAAGGGATAATTTGGTTCGAATAACTCAGACATTATGAATAAATTTTCTTAAGCATTAACTTGAATATTCATATTTTTACGAAAAATTGACTAGAGCAATATGAAGCCAACGATAGAGAAACTAAAGAGCGAATATAAGTTGAACCATTAGGATGACTGGAAACTGATTTAATTTTAGAGTAGTAAAGTTATGTAAGAGAGCTAAATTTCTTAAAAAGTTGGATTTGTTTTGTTTGAATTAAGTGATCACAACTTTCTGCATTATCCAAACATGAGTAGCTGTTATTCGCAGTCACGTTTTCTATTTGATTTTGTTTGGTGCATAATTTGAACACACACTCCTCCATCAGAAGTCGATACTATACTTATCCAAACTGGTATGCTGCACGTCTGCTATATGCTTTTAAATTTCCTTCTGATTAATAACTGTTCATTGTCTTTACAATAATTCAGATGCTTTATTCTTTTAAAAAATCAAAAAACTTGAGTACTGTAATAGAGTGCGTATAGTACTTGCAATCGATACGTTCATACACGTCAAGTGTCTTGCAACTCTCTTCATCCCGGGTTTCTTCCATCAATCATAAACACAGTAATTCTAATCTTGTTCTCAATCATTGGATAAACCTTTTCTGAATTTTTTTGCAAGATTAGTTTACAAAAGAAACAGACCATCGACTACACAACGCATATCAGTCAAATCCAACTACGCTATTGCTCGTCATGTTTCTAACTCGTTGTTCGGTGGACGGATGAATTTATTATTGATGTGTTGAAGTTTTGTTTAGTAAAAATTCTTTTACTATGCAGACTTCTCATAAAACAAATCTTATGATAAACTCCAACGGAAACAACAAATACAAGAATACCATGCATACGAAATTAAAGAGTGTAACAAAGATACAATAAGCACAAGGCGATAAAAACTATATGTGAAATGCTGAGCATTAATTAAATTAAGCAAAAAAAGAAAAATCTTTGGTTGTTCTAACATTACAACTTAACTACGAAAGTTGCGCACAAACTGATCAACCAACTGAACAGAAATTTAACTATTACTTCAAGTTCACTACGTTACCATCACCGATTCTCAAAATCTACATGAGCATTAACATCTCACAATTCACTCGATAAATCTATCAAAACAAAAAAATAGGTTTTCTCGTTTGTCATATTTTATTTCTTCGGTCTGTGCGTTTGATGTCAATACTTACAATAAATTAACACAAAGTATGAATATGATCTACCAAAGTACTTTACTTCTGAAATTGGGCCAAAGCATGAAGAATTGCAATGCGTGCGTGAACTCGACTACTATTATCGATTGACTTTAGTGAACTACACACAAAGTCTGCAAAACATTCGTCGGCATCGTGAAGACTAGTTGCGCGATCAAACAATGATTTTCGTTCTGCAAGACGTTGTAAAGCCTCAGCGCTACGCATCAACGCCTGCGCGATTACATCTGATGATGAATCCGACACCGAATCTAGCTTACACTTTCCCGCATCTGAATTATCACAAACCATCGATTCGGCTACTTTCACCATGGTCAAAGTAGTTTCTGTCACTGAGTTTACCGAAGATGCTGGTGATTCCTTATTCACTTGGCATCTACCATCTTTTTCTAATAACGAACGTCCTTGTCCAGAAGAAGCAACTATTCCTTCCGGATTGATCAATAAATCATCTCCGATTCTAAACGTTTTTTAATTAGTTAATAGCGAGACTAAAATTAGGGTAGTATTCAAATTGAATAAATTAAAGCTGACAGAAAATTGTAGTAAAAATTGAGAAAACTAATAACCTAACAAAAATTCAGTCTTAAATTTTATCAACAACTTAAAAGGGGCTACTAACTAGACCTTAATCCTTATTAATAATTACTAATCGAATTATACTTTTATCAACCTCTCAATGGATAACTGTTGGATGAAATTGGATAAATATGAAGAATACTTAACTCAATTGACTCCACATATAATGTGAGGATTACTGTGGTGAACTTACCACGTTATTCCTTAGGTATTGACGAAGAGCAATAAGGACAGGAAAAGTGACCTGGATGCAAGACTGCAGGCAACACCTAATGTTTCTGGCTTCGAGAACATTGTAGCCGCAAGATCGCAGTGAACTTCCGAGTTGCTTGCTTTATTTTCATTATTTCTTTTACGCTTCAATGGTAAGTTCCTAAAAATTTACATTTGATGCAATAAAAGGCAAAAAAAAGCAATGTTGTATTATAAAGAATAAAACAAGTAGAGTGTAGCAAAGTAATTTTTGTTTAATTTCTGTCTTCTTGTGGCTTCACATTTGACCCTAAAAAGATATCCTGCTTTCTCATACATACTTGCAAATATATATATATACATATATATATATATATATATATATATATATATA